CCTTAACCATTTTTTGCTTTAAGGAGGCTCCACACCTAGCACAGAGCCCAGTGCGGGGCTCGAACTCACGACCCTGAGCTCAAGACCTGAGCAGAGGGGCGCCTGGGTGGCCCAGTCGTTGGGCGTCTGCCTTCGGCTCAGGTCATGATCCCAGAGTCCTGGGATCGAGCCCCACATTGGGCTCCCTGCTCCGCGGGAAGCCTGCTTCTCCCTCTCCCACTCCCCCTGCTTGTGTTCCTGCTCTCACTGCGTCTCTCTCTGTCAAATAAATAAAATCTTAAAAAAAAAAAAAAAAAGACCTGAGTGGAGATCAAGAGCCAGACACCCAACCAAGTGAGCCACCCAGACCCCCCCCATCTTAACCCTTTTATTTTTATTTTTTTGAGAGAGAGAGAGAGAGCACTAGTTCGCACGTGCACATGACCAGGGAAGAGGGAAAGGGAGAGAGAGAATCTTAAGCAGGCTCCACGCCCAGTGTGGAGCCCAACGTGGGGCTCAATCCCAGGACCCCAAGGTCATGACCTGAGCAGAAATCAAGAGTCAGATGCTTAACCAACTGCGCCAAACAGGCGCCCCTGTTTGTTAAACTTCTACTTTTGTTCATGTATTATTTTCCTGATTTTGTTTAGCTCATTGTGTCACAGCTCACCGGACTTCTTTAGGACAATTATTTTGCATTCTCAGGTAGCTCATGGCTCTACATTTCTTTAGAGTTGGTTACTGGAGCTTTATTAGTTTCCTTTGGCGGTGTCATGTTTACTGGATTCTTCATGATCTGTGTAGCCTTGCCTGGATTTCTCAGCACTGAACACTGACGCCCCTTCCAGTCTTTACAGACTCATTTTAATAGCTAAAGGCCTTTTCCTGCCAGTTCCCTGGATTTATGGGTCTGGCTCTGGGATTGTGTTATAGTGGGGCTGGAGCTGGGTCTCATTTGTTGGGCCCACAGTGGGGTCCCACCCAAGGGCATGGGTGGGCGTGGCTTCTGCTGGGACCTTGAATGTGCTTTCGTTGCAATACTGGGCTGGTCCTTGTGTGGGCGGGCCTGCTTCCAGGCCATGGTACAATGGGACTGGAGCCAAGTCATGGGGCTGTTTTAGGGACTATAGTTGGGTCTGAGGCCAGCAGGCCTGTTTACTGGGGGCTGGATGGGCATTCCTGCTCCTGGATCCTGTGGTGGAGGGGCGGGTGCCAGGATCATGGAGAAGCAAGGTGTGCTAAGTCCATAGCTACTGGTCTACTGACCACAGTTGATGGGCCTGCGACCAGTGTGTGGATCTACCTTCTAAAAATGGTCATCCTCTGGGGTGCCTGGGTGGCTCAGTCAGTGGAGCATCCAACTCTTGGTTTCAGCTCAGGTCATGATCTCAAAGGTCGTGAGATAGAGCCCCGTGTTGGGCTCTGCCCTCAGCGCGGAGTCTACTTGAAGATTCCCTCCCTCTGCCCCTCTCCCCCAACGCACTCTCTCTCTCTCTTAAATTATAAGTAAGTCTTAAAAAAAAAAAATAAAAGTGGGCATCCTGGGTTTTGGGCACCACTGAGGTTTCACCTCCTACCTAGCTCCTAAAGCTCCCACAAAAGCATTTTTGTCCATGAATGGCTGCCAAATATTTGTTTCGGTGAGGGTGTGTGGGCTGGAGATGTATTCTTCCCTCTTGCGGTCCCTTTTCTGGTAGTTTTCTCTTCTTGTCGTGTTTTTGTCTGATTTTGGTATCAGGGTAATGCTGGCCTCTTAGAATAAACTTGGAAATGTTCCCTCCTCTTCCACTTGTTTTTGAGGTGGGGGAAGAGTTTCAGGAGGATAGGTGTTCATTCTTTCAGTGTTTGGTAGAATTTACCAGTGATGGGTGCCTGGGTGGCTCAGTGGGTTAAGCGTTTGTCTTCGGCTCAGGTCATGATCCCCAGGACCCTGGGATCGAGTCCTGCATCGGGCTCCCTGCTCAGCGGGGACCCTGCTTCTCCCTCAGCCCCCCTCCCCCGTCCTCCGCTTGGGCTTGTGCTCTCGCGCTCTCTCTCTTGCAAAAAAATAAATAAATAAATAAAATCTTAAAAAAAAAAAAAAAGAATTTACCAGTGAAGCCATCTGGTCCTGGGCTTTTCTTTGTTGGGAGAATTTTGATTATTGATTCAATCTCCTTGTTAGTCGTCTTTTCAGATTTTCTGTTTCTTCATGATTCAGTCTTGATTTGTTGTGTGTTTGTAGGAATTTATCCATTTCTTCTGGGTTGTCCCAATTTGTTGGCATACAGTCTGTCCAGATTGTTATAAGGATACTTGTGATGGCATTTAGCGCCAACCAGGATAATCTCCCCATCTCAGGATTCTTAACTGAATCACATCTGCAAAGACTCTTTTCCCATATAAGGTAACTGTTATGGGCTGAACTGTATCTCTGCAAAATTCGTATGTTGAAGTCCTACCCCCAGTACCTCAGAATGCGACTGTGTTTGGAGAGAGAGCCTTTAACGAGGCAATTAGGTTAAAATGGTCATTAGAATGGGCTCTGGTCCAATCCGACTGGTGTCCTTATAAGAAGAGGAGATTAGGAACAGATATGCACAGAGCGGAGACCACTGTGGGAAGACACAGGGAGAACAAGCTGAGGAGAGGGGTCTCAGAAGAAACCAACCCAGCCCACACCTTGATCTTGACCTTCTAGTCTCCAAAACTGTGAGAAAATAAATTTCTGTTGTTGAAGCCCCCGAGTCTGGGGTACTTGGCTATGGCCACCTGACCAGACTAACGCAGTTAATAGTCACAAGGTTAGTTGGTAATATTCACAAGGCTCAGGACCCGGATATCCTTGGGGCTATTATCCAGCCTAACACATTCACTTACCATCTTCCTACCGTAGTGCATAACTAAGGAAAGCAGGGTGTTTATGTATTTTATTTTAAAGATTTTATTTATTTATTTGTTTATTTAGAGAATGAGAGAGAGAGAGAGTACATGAGAGGGGGGAGGGTCAGAGGGAGAAGCGGACTCCCTGCTGAGCAGGGAGCCAGATGAAGGACTAGATTCTGGGACTCCAGGCTCATGACCTGAGCTGAAGGCAGTCGCTTAACCAACTTGTTCTTCAGACAGTGTTTAGCCCCAGGGGAATTTACATTCTGGTGTGGGGAGTCAGATAAGGAACAAAGAGGTGAAATATCCCGGGTCATGTGGTGGCAGGCGCTCTGGAGAGAAAGCAGGCGGGGACAGGTGAGGGAGGAGGAGACAGTTTGTGATTTTAGACAGGGAGATGGAGAAGGTGACCTTGGAGTCACTGAAGGCGGTGCGGGAGCCAAGCACGTTGATAGCAGAGGGAAGAGCGCTGCAGGCAGGGGAGACAGCAGATGCTGACCCGCAGCGGGGTGGCTTGCTCCCTGCAAGGAAAGGAGAGAGGGCCCGTGGAAGTGCCTGGCCTGGCGGAGGGCGGGGGAGCGGGACGTGGGGTCAGAACAGCTGGTCCAACTCAGGTGGGGGCTCCGAGGCCATCAGAAGGCCTTTCTGGCTTTGGCCCTGAGAGAAACAGGAGCCATGGCAGGATTTTGAGCGGATGCATGACTTGACTTGACTTAGGGTTTTTGTTTTTTTTTTTAAGATTTTATTTATTTATTCATGAGAGACAGAGAGAGAAAGAGAGAGGCAGAGGGAGATGTAGACTCTCCACCCAACGTGGGACTCGATCCCAGGACCCCGGGATCATGACCTGAGCCGAAGACAGACGCCTAACCATCTGAGCCACCCAGATGCCCTTGACTTAGGTTTTAAAGGGATTTTTTTTGGCTGCTACGTGGAGAGAAGGCTAATGGGGAGCCCGGGAGAGAATCGGGGAGTGAGGAAGCTACTGTGGTCATCCGGCCAGGGGCTCCTGGCGGACCAAGGGTACCCAGCCCTGGAGGTTGTGAGAAGGGGCTGGACTCTGGGTGTCTCCTGGAGGTAGTGTTGCGGGATTTGCTGGGCAATCTGCTGTGGGGAGTGGGAAGAGAGGAGTCACATTGTCACAGGGGTGTCACCCCTGTGGGTCTCCATGAACCCGCCCCTCCCCCCTTCCTCCCCACGGCCCCCTCCCTGCAGGTGCTCCATCTGTCCAGACCCTCCTCCTCCGTCTTCCCAGTAAATTGCTGTGCCCTGTGGGTATCCTCCCAGAGCATCACCCCACCTGCTTCTCCTTCCATCCCACCCCCTCCTGGCTTTGCAGGCAAACACACAGATACCCAGGCTCCTGACAAACAGCTCCCTCGCCTCCCTGCTGCCTTATGGGTGTGCCCAGCGGCCGTGGGGTCGGATGCAGGCGTGAGGCCATGTGGGCCCCGGAAGTGGAATTGGTGGTGATGGGGAGGGGATTTTAGAATCTGGCACCCAGGGCGTGGTCTGAAGGGGAGTTGTGGGCTCTAGGTGGGCACATGCCCAGGCCCCGTGGATTTCTGGCCCCGAGGGAAGGGGAATGGCCCTGGGGCTGGGGGCCTCCGAGGGTGGTACTGAGGCTCCCAGTGGTACCTGCAGGACCTCACTTGTTGGGTTTTAGCAAGAACTGAAGCGGTGCTGTGTGGGTGAATGGCTCTTCCTTCAAGGGGATGTCTCAGAGGGAAGCCCGTCTTCTGGTTTGCTTAGATGGGGCCATTTCTCCACTCTCTGCATGGCTGTTCACCAAGGCCAAGGATTTGGTTTGGACAGGAGGGTCATTTTGTTTCCTCTACCCGTTCAGCTCTACCCTCAACACCTGGAGGCCACCTACCAGGCCCTGTGCCCAAGGTCTTGGGCCCAAGGGGCAGGCCTGGGGAAGGTATCGCTGGGTGGGTGAGCCACCTCCTCAGGGGAGACCCATGTGGGTGGGCATGCGTGGGGCTGGCTGGCCCTGCTGCCCCTGCAAAGGGGCTTTCATTGCTAAAGGGCAAGCAGACCTTGGAGAAGGGTTGATACACCCAGAGCAGGTGATTTTGGCAAATAGCGCCCCCAAATACACCTGTTTCTGCCCCAGGGGCAGAGGAGAGAGGACAAAGGAGGCCTTGACCCAGTTTCCTTCAAAAGGTTTTCATTTATTAGTCTTTTCTTAAGCAGTTAATTCTCTTTTCATATTTAAAAGGAAAAAAAAAGGTATGTGTTTTCATCCAGAGTTATACCAAAGTGATTAAGATGAATCTTCTCCTGGGGAATATAGCTCCCAGATCGGAAGAAAAAAAATTTTTTTTTCAATTAACCACGAAAATAAAACCAGGAGAACATCAACAATCCAAAATCATCCCCAAATATCCAGGACAAAAAATAAAATATTTATTGATCTATCACAGCGAGACACAAAGAAACGGGCGGGGCAGGGGTGGGAAATGCTCTGAAGTGGGTACAGTGGTTCGAGGGAAGGACGGGGGGTATACAGTACTGCATGGGGGGGGACCCAGGTCGGGGAGGAGATTCCTGCCTCCCCAGCTGGTGTAGCTCCTCACACCCTGGGTGCTCAGGCCCCATCGTAGGGGTGTGTGTGGCGGGGTGGAGGCAGGGCACAGGTCGCCAGGACACGTTAACCAGGTTGATGGTGGGGGCACCCAGCCAGCTAGCGGTGCTGGGCGGTCAGCTGGGGACAAGGATGGATGGACGGATGGACAGATGGCTGGATGAATTCCACAAGCGCGAGAGCGCTGTTCCCAGTGGGGGTCTTCTCATCCGCAGGTGTCCCAGATGTGGGGAATAGGTGGGGGGGGCTGAGAGATGGTATGACCGAATCCAGCTTGAGGCTTTAGGTGCTTAGGTACCAACTGGACCGCAGCCGGGGTGGGGGGTGGGGTTTCTGGTGGGCAGGGGGAGGTGGGACTGCCCAGGGAGTGTCCGCACCATCTTCAGAGGAGTCCCAAGGAGGGGGGTCCCAAGGGGCCGCCCTTCCCTCCTCCCTCCCCCCAGGAAGATGAGAGCACCAGCACGTAGCACCAAGTTCCCCTGGAGATGGAGAGTGTGTGGAGGGGGAGCTCCTGGGTGGGAAGGGGGTGGGGGCGGGGGGCTAAGCCCACCCACCCCCGGCCTCTGAAGTTGGGGGCCTCCTGGGGCCCACTTGGCCACCTCTCTTGTGTCCTTGCTTTGTGAATTTCCAAGGCCACCCAGCCTGGCCTGTCCCCTCCCGGGGTGGGGACGGGGCGGGGGGGCGGAAGGGGGATGGGGGAGGGGTCACAAGGGGTTTACATTCTCCACCAAGCAGTAGCACCAACGTTGATGAGGTCGCGAGTCAGGGGTCCTGGGAAGCTCACTTTCTCTTCCGGCCACAGGATTTCCCCAGGCAGGCCCCACCTGGGTGGGAGGAGGCACCAGTGACAGCCCGACCCCTCCGGGGTCCTGCTCAAGCCCCTGCCCGCTTGGACCAGCTCCAAGGTCTTCTCACACCCACATCAACACAGTGGGGAACCGAGGCTCCAAAGCCATGAGAAGCCTGGCCACAACCTCCCGCCAAACTCTGATCCATTGCACTGCCCTAACCCCTTCCAGGCAGGAGGGTGGGAGCAGGGCCCACGGAATGGTGGCCTAATCAAGGCTCAGGGAGGGGAAGGGCCCTGGCCTGGACAAGGTCTCTATATTGAGTCCACTGCATTTGGGAAGCCTTCAGCGAGCAGCTCGGAGTGCACCAATTGGCAAGCCTTGTTTTAAGCCATCAAGGCACCACTGTCTGGTAGTACGGCCTGGTGTAGTTTCTACCCCTGCTGGAGCGCAACATGGCTCCTTACCGCCACCTGGTGGCAGCGAGCAGCTGAGTGGGGCAGGGACAGGCTTCTCCCTGTGAAACTCATCCGGGGTGTTTGGAAAGGAGTGTGATCAGGCCACACGCATCAAGTGGTACCTGACTGAGAGTGGGTTACCCTGGACATGGTCGGGCTGGTCTTGCCTCTGCCTCTCCCAGCCCTGGCCCCAGCTGCCCTATATGTGTCGTGGGAAGCAGGTGGGGATGGAAGGGATTCCACAGCCTGAGCAGACACAGCGGTGGAGCTGGGCGTCTTTGGGTCTCCTCTGGGTGCTGGTAGGGAGGTGCCTTGGGGGGTGGTGACCACTGCCTGCCCCCGCCCACCACACACACACTCCCAGAGGCATGTCTGCATCTTTGAGCAAGGGTGTGGCTCTGTCTGGGCCAGGTGGTAGCCTCTGCCCACCCTGCCCGGCTAGGGGCACCTTGGGTCCCCCATCCACCCCTCAAATTCCCTGACTCTAGGGTCCATTGTCCCATTTACTCTCTCTTCCTCTGTTCCTCCAAGTTCCTCCCTCACCCTCCTCCTTTCCCTTTCCCTTGGCTCCTCCTGGTGGGCAGCCGGGAGGGAGAAACTCCCAGTCCTGGCTTGGGGCGAGCCTGGAGGGTCCCAGGCCCACTCTTAGCTCTGGAAGTCTGTGTCGGAGGTGGACGCAGGGATGGGGGTGAGGTGCCCAGCTCCCCCCAACCTCCCCACTAGGCCTGCTCCAAACGCGCTGTTCCCAGGCTGATGGACCCCAGCCCTTTGCCTGTGTCCGCCCCTCCCCGCCCTGCCCTCTCCCAGGGGCTGAGTCTGTACTCACCTTGGTAACCCAGGGCTCCCAGGGCCCCTCCAAAGGGCTTGGGAGGTTTGCCTGTGGAGGGAAGGGTGGGGGTTGGGGAGGCGGCCAAGCTTTGCTGCCTCTCCCAGAACCCCTACCATGTACCAGGCCTCCAGCCTGTCACAGAAGGTTCTGAAGACCTTCCTGCCCCCAGCCTGGCCTTTGGTCTCACCCAGCTGGACCCCTGCTCTGTTCCTTATGAACGGTATCCTGCCTGTGGTGGTCTGAGCAGCTCGGAGGATGCCCCCGCCCACCATTCAGACCCCGGCCACGCAGACTGCCCCACCTAAAAAGCCCTAGGCTTTGGCCTCCCTGACCACCTGCTTGAATGGACCTTGTTTCCCCCTTACACACTTCCTTTCCTTTTCCGTGGGGTCTCATCAGGTTCTACAGTTACACCAGAGACCGGGGCTGGCTGGTCTCTGTCTCCCGTCAATGCCAGGCTGCGAGCCCCGGGAATGGGATCCTTGCCCCCCCACCCCATCCCTACATCCCACGACTGAATTTCTTTGGCATCGGAGGGCCAGCCCAGGGCCGTGGCCTCGGTCACCACTGCCACGGTAGCACCCCACCCCCACTCCACGAAAGTAGCTCAGGGCCCTGACTCACCACCAATGCCCAGGCCCCCGGCTGCACCACCTGCAGGATAAGGGGAGGGGCTGTGAGTGAGTCCACTCTGGGGAGCCCGCTAAGCCTCCCTCACCGCCCGGGGCAGCCAAGTTCTGGGCCTGGGTGTCAGGAGCCCTCAGGTCGGCCTCAGTCACCGTGTGACCTTGGGCAAGTCCCTGGCACTGTCTGAACCTCAGTGTGCCTCGTCTGGAACGTGGTGCTTTGGAAAAGCTGATGCTCCCTGGCCTTGCAGGGGAGGGGGAGGAGAAGGAGGGGAGGCCCGGCTTCATGTAAGGGACGTCATGGGTCTACCCCCAGGTCCTGGCTCCGCCCTTCTGAGCAGATGAAGCGGGGGGGTGGGCAGGATGGGGCCAGAGTGCCAGGCCGGGCCGGGGGACAGGGAGCCTGGGTGTACCTGGGTAAATAGGGGACAGTCCGAAGCCAGGTCTTGCTGCAACTCCTGTGGGAGGGGTTTGGGGTTGGCGTGGGGCAGGCCCTGCTCCGGCCCCATCACCTCCTGCCTGTCTGTCCAGGACTACTTCCTCCCCGCCGCGTGCCACTCGCTGGCGGAGCAGTTTCCCTTACAAGCCTTGTCTCCGCCCGGCATCCTGGCAGGGGCCCCTGCACCCCCAGCTCATCAGCCTGGTGTCTGTCGCTCATGGTGTACCCGCTGGTCTGAGGCCTGCCCCTTTGCCCAGGATGTTTCCTTTCCTGGACTGCCCCCTCCACCCTCTCTCTCTCTCTCTCTCTCTCTCTCTCTCTCGTGTCCTTGAGCTAGATGTGGCTCCAGGCGTCCCCCTTGCTAGCCAGACAGGCCTCCTCTAGACCCAGGCGGAGCAGAGGATCTCACAGAGAGATGGCCCCTACCTCCGACTTGGAATGGCCTGGTGACTCCCAGGACACCTCCTAGACCAGCGGCACCTGAGGAGAGGGTGGACGGGGTTTGGGCGAGGCACAGCTGAAGGGGCCCTGAGCCCCCTCTCTGGGTTCTGGGGTCGGGGACATCCTGGGCAGGCCTTCCGGGGTAGTATGAGCAGGACTGAGGTGGGAGCTGGAGCAGGGATGGGGCCTGGGTGGGGGCAGAGACAGCCTGCCGCCCGGACAGAGGGAGCAACTCACCATATTTGGCTGCTTTAGCGGCTGCGGCCGGGGACACACCTGGGGAGACATGGGGCCAGAGGGCTCAGGAATAGCACCGCCCTCCCAGAGTCTTGTTCCCTCCTGGCCTGCTCGTCCACTCACCACCTGCCACCGTCCTCCCATCTTCCCGAGTCTTTAGTGAGCTCTAACCGTGTGTCCAGTCTGGAGCACACAGGACGAGACACAGTGATGGCCCACGACACAGTGACGTGTCAACGCAAGCCCGCCCCCTCCTCCCTCCCTACCCCCACCCCCCCACGGTGGCAGAGACTTTGGGGAAAAAATTTCCCTCCCAACTTTGCTCTTCTCCTCTGGAAAATGGGCACAACCACCGTCATCCCGATGAACTCCCACTTAAAGTGGGTGGGTAGGCTGACACAGGACGGGGGGGGGTGCCCAGCTGCACGTGGTGGTCCCCAGCGTGCACTTGCTGAAGGTCCTCCAAATGCTGCCAGCCAGCCTGGGGCAGGTGTGGCAGGTGTGGCAGGTGGGAAGGAAGCTCAGTCTCTCTCTCTCTCTCTCTCTCTCTCTCTCTCTCTCTCTCTCTCATACACACACATGCCCCCTGCAACCTCTGATTCCAGAGCAGTCCCTTACCTCCAAAGCCCCCAACCCCTGGGATGGCTCCTCCGACTCCGAGCCCCCCGACTCCGAGCCCCCCGACTCCCAGGGGTCCAGCTCCCCCGAGGCCTGTGGAGAGAGCTGTGTGTTAAATTGCTGGTGGGAATGGCAGGGGTCTGTCTGCAGACGGTGGGGTTCTCATCCCAGGGCCCAGGTGGAGCCTGAGGTCCCAGGGCCTTGCAGGGCGTAGTGGGGCCAGGGCGTGGGCTGGGCTCTGGGGAGCCGATGCCCTTGAGGGCCCCGTGCATGGTCAGAGCGCCCCCCGCCAGCCAAGTTCCACCCCCAACCAATGCTTACCATACTGGGCGGCTTTGGCGGCAGCTTTGGCAGCAGCGGCTGAGACCGCAGGTCCAGCTCCTGGGGACACAGAAGGAGCTCAGGGTTGGGGGGGGTGGGGGACTCTCCACTGGTCAGTCTTCCTCCCTGCCCAGCCTGTTCTGGGCTTTCAACTCACCTGCCACACCACCTGGGACACCCACTCCTCCGAGAGCCCCGGGCCCTCCCGCTCCTGGAGAGAAGATGGAAAGTCAATACCCCAATTTCTTCAGGACAGGGGCTCCCTGCCCTAGGGATGCTAGGCAAGCAGACATGTGGCCAAAGCCACGTGACCCAATGGAAGGGGCACCGGACAGACACCTGGGTCTGGGTCCTGGCTCTGTCCTGGCCAGTCGGGCAAGGGGGAGGTCCCCTTGAGCCACGGCCTGCCCATTTCTTCTTCCCAGCCAGCTAGGGCTGGGAGCCACAGGTAGCCACAGTGGTGGCTATGAGCTGCAGAGGAGAGAAGACTAGACTCTGGTTCTGATAGCCCTCTGTTCGAATTCTGCTTCCTCCACTCATTATCGCTGTTGCCTCTCTGAGCCCCAGAGCCGATGATCCTTACCCTGCTCACGCTGCAGGTGTTTGGGGAGCAAAGGGACACCCCCACTGTGCACGTACTCTGAGCTCTGAACCACTGCTCAGTGTGGAGCCGCTGCGTGCGGCCACGGCTAACACTTGATGCAACATTCACGGTTCTCTGTGCTTCGCACGGAGTAGCCTGCTTATTATTCACTGCAGCAGGGAAGGTAGGGACCACTATCATCCCCATTTTGCAGACGAGAAAATTGAGGCACAGCAGAGGTTAAGCGATGTCCTCAAGTTTCCACAGGCAACACATGGCTTGGGAGTCAGCGCCCTCAACTGCTTTGTTTCCCTGGCAACGTCTGTTAGACTCAGGCAGGCCAGCTGCCGGCCAGGAACAGAAGAGGGGCCTGTGGGTCACCAGGCCCGTGGGGGGGGGGGCTGAGAAGCCGGGATTTTCCGAGGTGGAAACTGGCCCCAAGTGGACTGGCCAGGGCTGGTTGGCGGTTCTCTGGCAGGGGCCCTGGTCCGGCTCCTAGGAGGCCAGGAATGCGGGGGCCACAAACAGTGTGGGTCTGTCTGTCTAGGCAGGGCTGCCACGTCCTCCAGGCTCGTGGCAGGCCCAGTCGTGCTGACAGCAAGGCGGGCGGGAGGCCGGGAGCCTAGGTGAGGTGTCCCGGCTCTGCTGATGAGGCAGGCCTGGGCCCTGGCCCCTGGCCTTGGGTCCCACGAAACTGTCAGGGGTCAGGGCCAGAAGGGCCTTAGGGACCACGGTCTTCATCAAGGAACTGCCACCAGGGGCGTTGGAAACGCGTTTTGAGTTGTCCCGGAGCGGGAGGAGCCAGGGCTGCTAAACCATCCTTGATGTGTCCCAGAAACTGCCTTTTTCCACCCTGACCCTCCCAGCCTTGTGCTGCAGGCTCTGGGCACTGGGCACTGGGCCCCGGCCCCATGGAGGGGAGATGGGTGACCAGGTGTTATCAGGGCCGGTGGGGCAGCAAGCAAAGCAACCCCAGGGGGCAGTGTGTGGGGTGCACTCACCATATTTGGCGGCTTTAGCTGCAGCCAGGGTTCCAGGTACTGGGGGGAAAGAGAAAAAGGAAAAGGGGGCTGGTCGGCAGCTGAGATCTGTGCCCGGGAGTTCTGCCTCCTCCAGGGAGCCCTCCCTGACTTCCTCAGCCTTCATCACTCCTCTCAAAGCTCTGAAGCCGTGGCTCCCCAGCCAGGAGCTCACCCTGCCAGGGAGAGAGCTCTAGTATCTAACCGTGCCGCTGCCAGTCTGGTCTGGGGCTGGTTGAAGGCTGAATTGTGCCTCCTCCTCCTGTCTGCCCCTTCCTTCTGCTCCAGGCACAGCGTGATCTGCCTGAGGCTGGACGTAGAGCAGGCACTAACTAGGTGAAGAACTGGAGGTCCTAGTGGCCCTCTTGCCATAGTGCTGCTGAAGGGGAGCCAGACTGGCCCACTCATGCCCGCTGACCCCAGGGACCTCCACCCTCCTTCTGCTGGGTAGTGGGCTACTTTTCAGTTTAGAACCCTGTCACTCCTCTAACTGAGCAGGCAGAAACTGAAATCTAGCAGCCTGGGGCCCCTTTTGCCTGGCCTGCCACCCATCTGTTACCCCAGTCATCTCTGATTGCTCAGGAGAACCTAATGGGGGATTCGCTATGAGCCCCTGAGTGAGGCTGCTGGAGGATATGCGGGCAGGAAGAGGGGTCTCCCTTCTCGGAGCTCAGGGGGGCAGTTTCCGCCCAGGCCCTACAAGGCCCCTCACCTGCACCTGCCCCAAAGCCAGGAACACCAACACCAGCTCCAAATCCAGGAATGCCGGCACCAACTCCGAATCCGGGAACACCAGCACCAGCCCCAAAGCCGGGAACGCCAACAGGGAGCCCAGCTGCAGCCCCTGGGGGAGATGGGCAGTGGTGGTGGGGGGGCAGCAGGCTGGAAGCATGCACCCACGGGGGGGGGGGGGCGTTTGGGTCCTTCCCAGGGAGCTGAGTCAGCCCTCAGGGCGGGGGTCCAGATGCAAGCAGGGGCTTCCTCCCGCTGAACCTGCCCTCTATAGTGCCACCAAGAATGGTCTTCCTAAAACGCCCACTGACCGCCAAGTCCAGCCCCTCCCAGGTTGGCATTCAGGGCTACACGGTGGCTGTGGATACCCCACGTGTCACACAGGAGGACGGGGGGATCTCAGAGGTTACTTTGCTAGGGTGGGCCCCAGGACCTGAACCCAGGTGCCCCTCATGCCCGATCTGTGCTTCCGACCCCTCTGGGGGCTGCTCTGGGACCCAGTGAGGCTGCATATCATGCGGGGGGGGGTGTGGGTGCAGCTCAGGCTTGGGTACTCACGGTACTGGGCTTTGGCGGCGGCTTTAGCCGCAGCGGCGTCCCCTGCTCCTGCAGGGAGAGGGAGGGGGTTCAGGGATGGCACCCAGGGAGCATTCAGAGGCCCTTCAGGCCCACTTACTCAGGCAGCTCACCTGTAACACCACCGAGGCCAATGCCAATGCCGGGGCCCACGCCAATGCCGGGGCCTAACCCTGCAAGAGCCAGAAGAGCTCATTCTTAACCAAGTCCTGACCAAGGACAGAAGCCGATGGAAAGAGCAGCGGGCTGGGAGGCAAGAGCCTTGGGATCTTGTCCCAGCCCGGACACAGGCTTGCTGTGTGATGTCGGACAAGTTGCTTTCCCTCGAGGGCCCTCAGCTTCCTCATCCCTACAATGAGGCATGTGCAGGATCAAGAGCTCTTAACTTTGGAGGACAAGGACCCCTTTGGGGCTTCTGAGGGTGATGGAGGCAGTTACACAGTAAAGGGAACTCGGCAAGATGGGTAGACCTGGGTTCAAAGCTCAGCTCAGCCGCTATTGAGCTGAGCAAGTGTGGGCGCGTGACTCAAGCTCTCAGAACCTCAGTTTCCACATCTGTAAAGTGGGAATTGTAGTACTAACCCCATAGACTTGGTGTCAGGATTACCTCTGCACATAGTGGCTTGGCAAAAAAAGGGTCGTTTGCCATACGTGAGTTTGGGGGTCAGCAGACCTGAGGTCAAGATGTTCTCTGGCCTAGACAGTGCTAAATTTTGTGATCAGAACCTTGATATCTGCAGGTCCCTAAGGCCAAGGCATAGGGACCTCCCCTGGCCCAGGGCCTGGCATACAGTTGGAATTTATAAAGTGGGGCTGCTGTGGTTTGCCCTGTTCAGGAAGGTGTGGGTGCCTGGGGCTGCCAGGGTGGGCTTCGGAGGGAGCAAGAGACGGAGAGCTTCGTCAGGCTGCAAGAAGTACTCTAGGAGGGTGGGAGTCCGGTGAGCCTGGCCCGAGGTCCAGAGGGGGGCAGGCCCCAGCTGTGGCTACAGACAGCAAGGGCTTTGGGAAAGCTGGGGAGCCGGGTCCTAGAGAGCTCGCCAGGGCCTGTTCTCACTTTGCTTTTCCGATCAGCCCTTCACCCACAGCCCTAACAATGGTCAGATGGGCCAACGGTGGTGAGAAAGTCCCGAATGTGACAGCCCGAGGGGGCTTGCCTCCCGGGGAGAGCTGAGCTGCCAGACCCCAGAGCAGGGAACATGAGGGGAACAGTGCTCCAGAATGGGGGCTGGGAGCAGAATGGGGGTGCTGGAGGGGGCACTTACCAAACTGGGCGGCTTTGGCGGCGGCTTTGGCGGCTGCAGCCGCTGGGGTCCCTACTCCTGGAGAGGTGAAGAGTAGGGATCAGGGGGCAGTCCGTGACACCCCTCTCCACACGCCCTGCCCCATCCCCTATTCTGGAAAGACCACCTGTAGGGAAGTGTCTCCTCCCCCAGAAGACCCTCCCCACACTGTGTCCTCAACCTGCAGACACAGAGGGGAACACGGACAGCCAGCCTGGCTTCCCGGCCTACTCTGAGGATGGCCCACTAGCCATCCTGGGTGCGTCCTTTCCCGGAGAAGCAGTTCTGGGACTGTGTTCTAGCTCTGGCTATGGCAGAGGGGAGACCAGCGCTGATGGGTAGGAGCCCAGACCCTCTCCCAAGTCTCTAGAAGTCTTGTGCAGCTTTCTGCCAAAGGTGATGTTAATTAAAAAAAAAAAAAAAAGTCCCAACAGTGCTTGTATCCCAAACTTGAGGAAACGGCTTGTTTTGTGGGGAAGCTCAAAAGGAAAATTTTTCTCCCAGAATGAAGGCATGCAGAAGAGAAATCGCATGGGGAAAAACAACCAAGGAGGTCTATAACTTAATCTCCCCGTAACTTCATCCCTTCTCTTTGGCCTCTGACTGGTGGGGGAGAATGAACACAGGAAGGCCAAAGGGTGGCCCAGGCCTCCCCCCTGATCCGGAACCAGAAAGGCCACGGGAATAAAGGAGTTCCATCACCTAGCTGGACGACGCCTGACTTCCCGAGCCTCCCCAGCAAGCTAGGATCCCGGGGAGGGTCTTCCCTCCCGAGTAGGGGAATTTGCCCTCCCTCCTCCCCATCTCTGGCCTCCGTAAAGTCTTGACAATCCGCGAAATGATGCACTTGACCTGGTCAACGCCAGGGCTCCTTCCGTGAGACAAGCCAAACCCGCCTCTGGGTTGGAGACACCGCTCACCTGGCACCCCTCCTGTGCCTGGGACACCTGCCACTCCGTCTCCGACCCCTGGCACCAGCCCTCCCAAGGCTCCTGCTCCTCCAGCACCTGGAGGAGTGAAGGGCGTCAGCTCTCTCCCTAGAGTCACACACCCGTTGGGAGAGCGAAGGGTGGGGGTGGTTTGGGGAACAGAATGGTTGCAAGGCCACCTCCACCTTGCTGGTTGGGGCTGGGGGTGATAAGCAGGGCCCCAATATTCATAGTGGTGGGCGACTGAACAGGGCGGAAGGGTTCAGAGTGGCTTTGGAAGATGGGACCAGGGACCCCCCGACCTTGACCTGGACAGAGAGGGAAACAGAGGCCTGAGCTTGAGGTAGCTCCACCCTCACACTGGAGGAGCGCTCTGACCTTGGAGCCTGGGCCCCCTGGGAGAGCAGGGCCAGGGAGGAGGGGACGGCACTGGCCTTGGCGTTGGGACAGGCAGGGCCGGGCACTTACCGTACTTGGCTGCCTTGGCCGCGGCTGCTGCCTGGGCTGCAGCTGTTGGGGGGTGGGGAGAGAGAGCCCTTCAGAACCCCCCCTGGATCTCTGGGGGGGCTATTCCTACAGCACTCTTACGCTAAAGTGCTAGAGCCCCTCTCTGCACCCCCCCACCCCAGCTCCTCCCTGAGCACTCTGAAGCCGGGTCTACGCTCCCCTGCACCCCTCCCCCCCCATCGCCCTCCAAGAGAGAAGACTTCTCCCGCTTTTGCCGCATGGAACTTAGGCTCACGGGAAAGGGCAGCTCCAGGAACACCTCCGGCTCCAGCTCCAATACCGTAACCAGGAAAGCCCCCAGCACCGACCCCGACCCCGAAAGTGGGAATGCCTCCAACACCCACTCCGGCTCTGGCCCCTGCAGACAGAAGAGAATCAGGTGGAAAAGTATCTCAGTAAGAGAGGCTGGGGAGGGGGTGAGGGGTGGGGGGTGGGGGGGATGCTGGTCAACTGGGAAAGAGGAGGCAAGCCTCCCCCAAGTCTGGTCCATGAAGGACCGGAGACCATAGAATGCATGGGCCCCGGGCCAGCCTCCGCCAGGGAGCCTTTACTAACAACCCCCCCCGGCCAGCGCTCTCTAACCCCTTGGGGAAGGGCCCCGTTGTTGGCCTTGGAGAGACTGTGGGCAGGCCCCATAGCCCTAGCCAGGCTTGGGCTCCTCCGAGAGGGCCCCGGCTGGGGCAGGGAGGGTCAGGGACGCTGTCTCCACTGGGAATGCCATACTGGGACTCTCGCATCACTCAGCCCCATGGCCTCATGGTAGGAGACAAGTGGAGGAGACATTGTCCCAGGGCCCAGCAGTTCCAAGTCCCAGCTCTGCCAGTGACTTCCCAGTGACTTGCTGCGTGACCCTGGGCAAGTCACTCCCCTTCTGTGGCCAGAACAGGACAGGGCAGAGCTCATCAGCACAGCACTCACCGTATTTGGCTGCTTTAGCAGCTGCAGCTGGTGACACAGCTCCTGGAGAGACCAAGGGGGCACAAATGACACAAGGGCCTACTTGTCCATATCCCCATCTACTCATCTGTCCAGCTGTCTCCTTAACCACCCATTCATCCACCCATTGATCTACCCATATGTCTGTCCATTTGTTTGTCTATCCTTGGACTTCGATCCACCCACTCAACCAACGTACCTCTCTGTCCATCCGTGCACCCACCCGTCCATCCACTTATCCACTCCTCTGCCTACACCTATAGATTCATCTAACTATGCAATGGTTCATTTTGCATTTGCCTTCTACACACCCATCTCGTCATTCGCTCATCCAACCATGTGCTTATCCATCCATCACCCATCCATCCATCCACTCACCATTTACTGAGCACCTATTCAGCTAAGGGCTGGGAATATACACTGAGAGCCAGAAGATGAATTAGAGAAGCTGATGCTGGCCGTGACTAATCAGGAGATTGTTACAGCCCAAGGAAGAGACGACGAGGCATGGCCGAGGGTATGAAGAGACGAGGATAGATGGGTGAGGTATTAGAGGGAATCCAAAAGTCTTAGCAACGGCTTCAACATTTCTCTCTTACATGTGTATGCACACGCACGCACGCACACACGCAGCCCAGCTCACCTGGGATTCCGACACCTGGGATTCCAACACCTGGGACCCCAACACCTGGGACCCCAACACCTGGGACCCCAACTCCCGGGCCGCCAAAGCCTGGTCCACCGGGCACCAAGCCTCCGGCAGCTCCTGGTGGAAGGAAAGGATTATTCTTCTGGCCTGGACCCTGTGGGAACCTCAGAGGGCCTCCAAGGGCACAGCTCTGGGAGCTGTGGGAGGGGTAGGTCCTGAGGGCAGGCTCCCAGGTGGGCTGCCATTGTGCCTGCATGGATCCCACCCACCTGGGAGATGGGGAGGGCTGCCGGAACCTGCCCCGAGCTCGGACGGTTTGGCTCTGTGGGTGGGAAGACCATGATCTAGGTCTAAAGCTGAGTCAGGTCTCTCCGCTGGGCCCCCAGGGAGTGGGTGCAGCAGTGGGGGGACAGCCCTGAAGGGAGGAGGGGAGAAGCCAGGTGCTCCGTGTGACACCCCCACCCGCCCCCAGCTGAGCTGACCAGTGGAGAACAATGGCCTTCCAGAAAGAGGGGCCAGAATGGGCAAAGGCAAGGAGGTAGGAACATTGCATGTTTGGGGAGTGGGGCGATAGAGGCTGCCGTAGATGGATGAAGGCCAGGTCCACCCAGCCTTGTAGGACTGGGCTGTCCAAGGCCCATGCGGATGGGGGGCTGAGGGTGCCGGGGTCCGGGCCGGCCACCCCTCGGGGCACTCACCGAACTTAGCTGCCTTCGCGGCAGCCTTTGCTGCAGCGGCCGGCGCCCCTGCCCCTGGAGAGAAGGCCACAGAGCGTGAGGCCCTTTCCCCGGTGGGCCTCTCAAGAACACCCCCAGCCCCTGCTGGACGGATGCTACCTGCGATGCCTCCGATCCCAGGAATTGCGCCGGCCCCGCCGGGAATGCCGCCGCCTCCAACACCGGGGAGAACCCCGGCTCCTCCCGCACCTGCCGGGAAGGGCACATTGAAGATGTAGCTCCCAGGGCCCCTCCTGAGGCCGTGCAGGAAGGCTGCTTGGATGCTGGAATTTTAACCAGCACCATGTCCTCTGGGAATGCGGCCCAGGCATCTCCGGCTGGGCCTGCTCGAGGAGGCCCCCACCCCACTGTTCCTTGACTCACCCCCAAAGTGTCCATTTCAACACGCTCATTAAGGGACTTGTATGTTTTCAGACAAATCCCATTCTAATCACTGCCACATACTGAGAAACCACAAGCGGCCGCTCCCCGGGCCAGAGGGGCCCCTGTAGGAATGTTCAAGGCTTCCCCTCCCTGTGTTCCGAGCACTCGGCCAAGTTTGTAATCCAAGCGCCTGGCTGCCCAGCTCTGGCAGCCCCTCGTCACCCCACTCTCCTGCTCCCACATTCCAGCCATCCCCACAGCATTGGGGGCCTAGAGGGAGGGCCTGTGGGGCCTCCATGGATCAGGCCTCTGGCTTGCTGCTTCCCCTCCACCCTTGCCCCCTTGGGCTGGTGGGGATATGCTCTCCATCTCACTGGGGTACAGGAGGGGCTCCCTGGGACTGCAGATGAAGACAAGGACCTCAGCCCCAGTAATGTGATTCTGAACTGGGGGACGAGCTGGGACGGGGGCAGAGAGGCTCACTTTGCCCACCACACAGGCATGGGGAGGGCCGTGCCACATCTGCCGGTCGAGGGATCATGGGCTTGAGGAGCAGGTTAGAAGTTGTATAGTACACATTAAATTGATACTGAACTATCACATTGTTTAAATACTCATGTAGGTACCACCTAAAATGATCATTCTAACCATCATAGTACCCATCCCCTCTGCCTGGGCTTCTCCTTCCTATTTTAACCACATGGCAAACTCCAGAATCAAATGTCATCTTCTCCGAGAAACCTTCTTGATTTCCCCCATGTAAAAATAACGTCTCCCTCTTTTTGACTCCCACCACAGTGCCTGCATTTTCCAGCAGGGCTCTTATTTGACCCTGGTCTCTGAAATAGCTGGATGGATGGATGGAAGAAGAGATGGATAGATGAGTGGACGGCTGGAGGGAGGAATGGACAAATGGAAGGATGGATGAATGGAGGGAGGAATGAATACATGGAGAGATGGGTGGGTGGGTGGGTGGATGGATGGATGGATGGATGGATGGATGGATGGGTGGAAGGAGGGATTGATGAAGGAGGGAGGGAGGGATGGATGGATGGGTGGGTGGATGGATGGGAAGATGGATGAGGGATAAATAGGGATGGATGGAGAGAAGGCTGGAAGAAAGAATGAGTAGATGGACAGACGGAGGTGTGGGTGGTATTGAAAACATTGGATAAATGGAGGTGGGGAGGGGCTGCCTTGGCTAGTTCTCTATGAGGCAGGCTCTCAGGGATAAAAGGGCTGGAGAGGCTGGGGGGCTGGGCGCTGGCAGGTGCACTCACCATACTTTGCTGCTTTAGCTGCTGCTGCTGCTGCAGCCTGCGAGCCAACTCCTGGGGGAGGGGAAGGAGAGAGACTCTGAAAGCTGTACTCCTGCATTTCCAGAGCCCCCCTGTTCCAGCCCCACGAGAACCAACCCTTTGGCAAAAGGGCATGGGGGAGGGGCTTCATAGCAAGCAGAGCTGAGGGAGCTGCCCTCACCCGAGATCCTTCTCCAGGCTCAGACTGGGGTCTAGATTCAGGGTGGGCTGCCCTGCATCCTGGAGAGACCCTGGCCGGCCCCCGGGGCTCTGGAACCTGGGTGATTGGGGCCCCTTTGGCTGACAGTTGGCTGAAGTTCTCCTTACCTGTCCCCGTCGGGTACCCAGCCTTGCCCCCGGCACCAGCCACTCCTCCGGGCCCATAGCCTGTGAAACAGAGAGGCTCAGTGGGCATCTGTGCAGACCCTACTGCGGCTGCCCCCCCTGCCCTGCCCCTCAGGGGTCAGGCTGCCCCGAGTCTCCACACTCTCACTCCCAGCCAGAGTGAAAACATACAAATGGGTGTGGATGCTTATTCCCATTTTACAGGTGAAGAAACTGGTTTGCTCAAGGCCTGGGGCTAAGCCCGAGGGTCAGGATCGAGAACCAGGCTGAGTCCAAGTTCTATGTTCCTTTCTTAGGGGATTCCCATTCCAAGCCTCTACCCCATCCCCGGTTGGGTGCTCTCCTTGCTAGGCCCCTGCAGCTGGAAAGAGCTAGAAGCCCATCCATTCAGGAGGGCACTCACCGTAGGGCAGTTTCCCAGTGCTGTAGGGCAGTCCATAGCCACCTGAAGGGAGGGCAGGGTGGGCTCAGGGGCTGCTCCATGGCAACCCTATGCTGGGCTCCCATTGCCTGGGTAGACAGCCCTACCCCTACAGGTACTGAGGCCTGAGACCTGGCCTCCACGCATGCACCAAAGGTCCCGAGCTGCTCACAGAGGCGGCCCTGGGTGGAGGAGGGAGAGGGCACCCCTTCTCCAGGGGCTGATGGCACGACCCTCCCCCTACAAATCCAGGACCTGCCATGGCCCTAGAATCCCCGAGTCTCTTCCTTATTATCCTCTAACAGCAAACCTCTCATTGTCTGAGCTGATGGCTGGGGGGCGGGGGGGTGACATCAGAGGGGTTTTGCCATTGAAGGCTGTTTCTTACCATCGACACCTATGGTTCCCCATGGGGGCTACGGCTCTGTGTACCTGTGCGTGTGAGGGAGGCCGATGCCTACAGGATGGCTTCCCTTGCTGGCGACCAGACATGGGGCGTCCATACTCAGGTGTCCTAACCACCCCCCCCCCCCCCCCCCCCCCCCCCCGCCGAGACACCAGTGGCCAAAAAAAGTCCCCCACACGCCTGCTTCTCAGCGGTGAGGCCCGGGGAGTGGTGCATCTTGAGTCCTCCTTCTGACTCACCTGGCAACTTGGGTGCCTTGATGGGGTACCCCAGCGGGACGCCAGGCTGCTGGCCCCCAAAGGGTCCGACTCCTGTGGGAACAAGGAGAGTGAGCTCAGGTCCCAGCCCCGTGGGCCAGCAGCCCTGCAGGGCCGTCGGCCTCCCGCTCTACTCTGCTCAGAGTGAGCTCCAGAAACCATCCTGTCTTCCTGCATCTTTGTCCCTGGTCAGCCCGGCCCTCCTCAGTGCCCCGGGTCACTTCTTCCGGGAAACTGCCGGACTCTCTCCCCCGCGCTGGGGCTCGGGCCACAGTCGAGGCCTGTAGCTCTCCCAGCATTTGGCACAGACGGGTGGGATTTCTGGGCTCGTTTGGCTGCCGCACAGACAGAGGGGTTGGGGCTGGGGAAGCGGCCTGTGATCGAGGCCACATTGTGTGGAAGCTGGTCCAAGGCCTGCAGCAATAGGCATGAGGGAAACCGGACAGACCTTGCTGGGATTCGGGGTGCCCAGCCCCTCCCAGGGCAAGAGCCGGCCGGGGGCACGGGGGGGGGGGATACCCAGCTGTGCCTCACCTGGGATTCCGGCAAAAGCTCCACCTCCACCTGCAAGGACAGGAGCCATCATGGCAGCCCTGCCACCACGGACCCCTGGCGGGCCACCCGGACCTCCCAGCTCACACTTAGGGGTTTCTGAGAGGGGTGCTGCCCATCTCGGCCACCCACCCGGAGGGTCCTGAGCCCAGAGCCCCCATCCCCACTCCACCCTCCCGGGGGCCACAGGGGCCTGGATGAGGGTGGCGATTCCTTCCCTCTTTGGGCTCCCAGCCCACTGGCCGCATACCTGGGGTCTTGGCCTTGACTCCGGTTCCGGTGGGAACCCCAGGGAGCACCCCTACACCCGGGAACCGAGCTCCTGGCGGGCCGAGGGGGAGCTGGCCGTGAGGTGTGGGAAGGCAGACCACCCACACCCCTCCGGGGGTCCCAGCGTTGACCTTCTGTACTGACTATCGGCCCCAGGCACGGCTCCCGGGCCGGCAGGGGGGGCCTGTGTGGCCATGATTCTCTTTCCCCGCCTGACCCAAGGTCAGAAGACCTGAGTGTTAATTCCATTTCCTAGCCACTCGAGCCTGTGGCTCAGTCGGCCTCCTCTCTAAACTGGAGTTAATTTGCAGCCACCCTGACTGCTGTCCCCAGACAAGGCAGAGCATCTGGTACTTGCCCCACTCCTGTCTCCACTGGGGCTGGGCTACCTCAGCCAGAGGGAGAGTGGGGAGGGACACTCTGTCAGCAAATCCCTCAGAGCGGGCTGAATCTGGGCTTTTGGGGGAATTCAGGAGGTCACATGCTGGGCGGGGTGGCCAGGCCAGGCCCTGGCAGGAAAAGGAGGGCAAGAGGGCAGCTCGGAGGGGGGTCTCCTGCAGGGCGGAGGTGCCGGGCGGGCCCCCTGGTGACTCAGAGCTTTGGGGAAAGAGCTGGCCACACTGGCACTTGCTGTGTCCCTGGGGGGGCCTCCTTGGGCTGTGACGATGGTCTGGGTTTGGGCCTAGGGTCAGCGCTTGGGGCACGCCGTGAAGCTGACTAGGCTCTTGCGGGGAAAATGACCGGGGCCTTCTGTCTGTTGGCCTGAGCTTTGATGCTCAGGGGGCCAGGGCTGGACAGGGCCCAGCTGGGGACGTCACGGGCCACCAGGGAGGCTGCCGGGGGCTGCTCTCCTTGCCTAGGGTTCCCTCCTTCTCCTGGCCCTCACCTGTGCCTGGGAGCACTCCACCTGGGTATACACCGGGCAGCCCCACACCTGTGGCGGAGAGAAGAGCTTTGAGCCATGAGCCGTAGCCCAGCCTTTAGGAGACCCTCCCGGGGCCCTTCTCTCTGGAGCGGCCCTGGGCTCCCGGACCAGCCACCCGGGGCCCGGAGGATGTCGCCAGAGACCCAAGCGCGGTGGCCACAGCTCTCCCACGAGTTTCGGAAGTCATCTGCCAACCCTTCTGTGTGTGGATTTGTCTTGTCTCCCGGAGCCTGTTTACATGGCTGGCTCAGCCCACCTCTGGGCTAACAGCTTCCAGATGTTCCCTCCCTGCTGTGCGGACTCAGGCAGCCTTTTGTTCAACCTGAAGTCACTTCCTCAAGGGCTTGGGTGCAGAGTGCAAAGCACCAGATGGGGAGTCAGTGCGCCCCGGGGCTCAGGCCAGCTCTGCCATGACTGCCTGTCCCTCCCGAGCCCCCTGTGCCCCATCTGCCCCTTGAGTGCTTGCCAGAGAGCCGGTCTCTGAGGTCCCTTTCTGCTCCCAGATCTGGAAGAAGGGCCCAGAAGGTAGGCCGGGGCCCCTCTCCGGCATCTCTGCCATGTTACATGAGTGGGGCCAGGCCTCTGGTGTGGGGGGCTGGGGGGCCTCTCCCCACCCCGTCCCCCCCCCCCCCCCCCCCCCCCCGGGGACTGCACACTGACCGGGCACCTTCCCGGGCTTCGCTCCGGCTCCGACTCCGACTCCGGCTCCGGCCTGAGGCACCACCGCGCCTGGTGTGGGATGGGGCCCGCATCAGAGTGGGTTCTGCCCGGGCCTGCGGCCTTCCCCTGGGCAGCCCAGCTCTACCCACCGTACCTGTAGACACTCCCAAGCCGCCGACACCACCAAGGCCGCCGACGCCACCAAGGCCGCCGACACCGCCAAGCCCAGCCCCTACAGAGCCGGGAGTGGGAGAGGCCAGGGGTCACACAAGGAACGGTGGGAGGCAGGAGGGCCCTGGGCGGTCAGGGTTGAAGGCCCCGCGTTAAGGTCTGGCCCCGCTGCCACCTCGCTTTGAGACTTGGGCACGGCTGGCAGCCTCCCCGAGTCCCGGTGGATTGGGGATGAGAATTCTGCCCGCCCGCCCACCTCCCGGGAAAGGGTCTTTGCAAAGTCGTGAGCTCACAGAGGCCAGAGGGCTTACGGCATGTCCCCAAGGGTAACACTCACCAGCCTTGGCAGCTTTATAGGCCGCGGCAGCACCCGCCGCTCCACCGGGCACCAGAGCCCCTGGGTAGGTGCCTGCTGGAAAGGCCCCGAGCCCTGCCCAGGGGAGGACCCAGTGAGGCTCTGAGCCCCAGCCCATGGGGCCCTGTCCCTCCTGGGAGGCGCATTTGAGGTGGCTTCCATGCCAAGCAGTGAGCCCTGCTCCCAGTACCAGGTTTGGCACTGGAGAGCAATAAATTGGCCCCTGGGGCTTCTCTCCAGCTCTCACGCTGGATCCAGCCGTTACCTGCCCGGGCCCTGGGCAACTGCTACAACATCACCCCCATGCAAGCACCCAGGACATGCCTGGCCTGCCATCCCTGTACCCCAGCTGCCCTCCCCACCGAACAGACACCCTGGGCTTGGTTCTGGTCCCCCGATGGGCAGGTTGCCTGGATGTGAACACTAACCTGCCCCAGGGCCACCGCCTGCGAGCCCACCAGCACCTGCAGGGAGAAGGGGACAGAGCCAGGTGAGGAGAGAAGCTGGTGTGCGGGTGTCATTCCTGGGCCCAGGGTGGGAAGGGTCTCGTGGAGGGTGATCAGGAACCGGGTAGGGCCGTGTGCAGGACTCAGGCCCCTAAGCTGAACTCCAGCAGTTGGTACTTAGGGGCCGATCCTGATAAGACTGTGACCAGCAACTAGGTGCCATGTAGGCATTATAGCACTGACCTCCCCCATAACACCCCTAGGCCAGGCCTTGCTTCTGCTAGGCCTGTCAGCTAAAGGGGGGCCCAGCAGGGCTTTCTGTGCCAGGCCCTGCTCTGTTCTTTCCATCAGCATCCACCCCAGGCCTGTGTTGCTTCCTTGCTGGGGTCCCCTGGCTCAGCCCTCTCCTCCTCCCCTATATCTGGAGCCCCTTCCATCGCCCACCATTTGTCTGTCTGTCCATGCAGCCTGCCCTGCAGTCCAGGCATCCTGCCTTGCAGACAGATGCTAAAATGTTTATGAGAAGCCAAATGGGTCCCTTTGGCTCTCTCCTTCCCACATCTGGGCCCAATTGCTCCTTCTCCCCCTCCAGGAGACATTCCACGGCTTTGGCCAGGACCGATGGGCAATCAGGTTGGAGTTCACAACCGAGCCAGGTTTGTTTCCAATTCTGTGAGAATCTTTCCTGCAAGCTCCAGTCGTGGCTGCCGGGGTCCCGAGCCCAGGGGCAGGCCTCTCTGGAGACAGACCCCAGATGCAGGGGACTGCTGAGCCCCAGAGGGTCTACCCGGCTTTCCCTGGGTGTGGTCCCCCTTCCTACCCCATCTCCTCCTTGTCTGAGCTGACCACGTCTGAAACTCAGTGGGCCCCTCTGCAAGGTGGGTCTCTAACTCCGGCCCCTCTTCCTTCTAGGCAGGTGCAGTATGCGTCCAGCCAGGCCTGGGGGTGTGCTGGGTGCATTTCCTTAGCACCTCAGGCCCTGCCCCTCCCCAGTTCTGTCAGGGGCTTCTCTCAAGCCAAGCCCATTTCCTGAGCTCCAAGAGGGCAGGGAACAAGCTCAGGCCTTTCCTGACCACGGAAGGGCTGGGAAGAGAAAGCTGGGGCTGGTGGGTGGGCAGGCCACCCTTCTGCTCTGCCCTTTTCCCATGCTCCCCCACCAGCTGTCTGATCCTAGGGCCACCTCCAGCATGACCAGTCCCACCCCTGCTCGCCCTCCTCCCTGGGGACTCACCTGCCCCGAACGCCCCCAGGAGTCCAGCCCCTGGAAAGGAGGAGAGAGGTGAGGAGCTGCCCATAGCTGGAAGCCCAGGGGCCCGGCCAGCTTAACCTTCTGTCTTCCCAGAGTCACAGAGCCCTGGATCCAAACCCTGCTGCCCCTAGCTACTCTGTGTATGAGGGGAGCAAGTCACTTCACCACTCAGAGACTCAGTATCCCCACCTACAGAATGGCCAGCACGTCCCCGACCTTCCCGGGACCAGTGGGCTGGTGAGTAGAAAGCACTAGTATGTGCCACCTGCCAGGGCACCCAGTGGGTGTCCCCCCAGCTCCTTCCTGTTCTCCCTGGCCGGCGGCTGGCCTCCAGCTGGTGCTGGGGGGTGTGGGTGGTGCTGGCTCCCCGCTGCCTGGGCCCCCACTGAGAGTTCGGGCAGGCCCAGCCCGCCGAGGCCCCCATGGAGTGGCTGCCAGGCCACCCACCCTCTACTTTGTCAAGGGATTAATTGTTCCCAAGCCTGACACGCGCCGCCTGTGCCCCGTTCCGTCCTGCCTGGGCAGGCCCGGACGTCCCCGCGGCCAGGCTGTGTAGATCTGCTCCGGGGTGGGAGTGGGGGGGTACTGTGACCCTTTGTGGCCCAGGGTGCTGAGGCTGAAAGGGGGTGACCTCAGGCCCTTGCCGTCAGAAGGGGATGTCCTGACTTCCCTTTTTGGTCTACTCCTTCACCCCAAGCCCGAAGTTCTTTCAGATGTCTGCACTAAGTCTTGCACTCATTAACGCCTCGCTTAGCTCCCATCCCCTGTGGACCTCTGTGGGCAGCCATCTTGGTCTCCCCGCTGGTGCTTTATCACCATTGCCCCGGGTCCCCTACTGCCGGTGGGGTCCACTCATCCCCCCTAGCTTTGCGGTCATGACCCCCACGAAACAAAGTCCTCAGTGGGCTTTCCCGGCTAAGCAGAGTCCGACTTCCGCGCCTTCGACTCCTCCCTGCCCTCGGGGACCCTGTGAGGACAGCTCGCCCCTCCGGGAAGACTAGGATGCAGCTTTTGGCAGGATCAGCAGCGAAGCCCAAAGGCTCCCAGCCTCGCAGACCCCCCACAGACCCCAGGAAAGCGCTTGCCCGGGGCTCCTGCTCTCTCGCCTCTCTCCTTCTCGCCCGGCCCGGCCCAGGAGTTTCACAACCCAGACGGGCTTGCAGGAAAGCGGGGATCTTGGTCTTGTAGATTCATTTGCACTTGGATCATCGAACGCTGGGATTTCGTAAGAGCCATTGGACATCCAAACTGTCCTGGAGCCTCTGGTTTCAGAGCCGGGGAGACGCGGAGCAGGGGGTGGGGTGGGGGGGGTGCCAAGGTCACATGTGGAGCATCTCACGCCGATGGGGCCATAAATCTGGACCATTTCCTTCACCTGCTCCTTATCCACCAGTGTTTCCCGGAGGGACCCGCCCTCCCCCTTTCCTGGGGGTGTGGTTTTTGGAGCTGACAGTGGACCTCAGTGGCAGATCTGGGCCCCATGGGCAGAAGCCTGGACAGATCTAGCCAGATCTTCTTACTGGAAACCTCCAAGGTCTAGACACAGCTGGAAGGGGCCTGGTCAGGAGGGGAGCTCATCTGGGCCCAGGGTCAGGGTTCGGGCTGGGGTTAAGTCCAGGCCTCGGTCTTGGGTCAGGGTTCAGCCCGGGGTCAGGATAAAGGCTCCAATTGTCATTGAGGTCAGAGATGTCTAGGGTCTTGGCCTAGAGGCTGGAGAAACTTGGTTTGGGATCAGGGGACCATCCAGGTGGAGTCTGGAGCCCACCATCTGAGTCTGAGCACCAGAGTGACATTCATAGGCTTGGTGGCCACCAGAACATCGGTCCCTGCCTTCCACCACCACCGCCCCCAGCATCGGGGCTGTTTCTGAGACCCTGTGTCAAGGGGCCGCTCCAGGCAGCTGGGCACACGGGTATTTGCAGGGTAGACACCAGACCTTCCTCACCCAGGGAAGACATCAAGCTGACTCCAGCCTACGGTTCTTGGAGTCCTGGGGCTTGGCCCCAGCCTGCTTATAGCTGTTGCTCACCACCTCCCTCCCTCCTCCGGCCTGTTGCCTCCCTCCCTGGGTTCATAACTCTGTGGGCCCTGCCCTCCCCTGCCCCTGGGGCCTCAGGTCTTACCTGGCTTGGGCGGTTTGCCTCCAGGTCCCAGAGCTGCAGAGGGAAGAGGTGGGAGTGAATGAGGAGCCCCAGGCCACGATTTTTCTACTATTTATCTCCCTGGGGCAGTGGGAGGGGGCGTGTCTCACTCCCCAGGTCCTAGAAGGGCTGATGGGGATGGTCCTCCCCTTTGGACAGGGAGCCACTGGGAGCCCAGTGTCTGGATGTGTGGGTGGGAAGCCTAGCTCCAGCCCTGATTTATGGTTTCTACTCTCCCAGCTTCAGTTTCTCAGCCCCAGAAGGGAAAACGATACCCACTCAGCATGCCTTGCAGGGGTGTTGTGGAGGATCAAAAGCCACGGGAGGGCGCCTGGGTGGCTCAGTTGGTTAAGCGACTGCCTTTGGCTCAGGTCATGAGCCCGGAGTCCCCGAATCGAGTCCCGCATCGGGCTCCCTGCTCGGCAGGGAGTCTGCTTCTCCCTCTGACCCTCCCCCCTCTCATGTGCTCTCTCTCTCTCACTCTCTCAAATAAAAAAATAAAATTAAAAAAAAAAAGCCACGGGAAAGGAGGCAGGGGAGGGACTTGGGAGGCCAGCGGGTTCCAACAAGTCTCTCCCAACTGGACGCCCTGTCTGTAAACTGAGGGATGCCTAGGCCTTCTGGGGGTTCTGAGGCCTGGGGACCTGGGTGGACCAGAGTGACAGCCAGACCCCATCTGTGAGGGACCAAGTTTGGTTTCTGAGCTCACCTCCTCCTCCCAGACCTCCGAGACCAGCACCTGTGTTGAGAGAGAGAGAGAGAGAGAGAGACAGAACCATCAATGTCTCTGCCAGAAAGCTGCCCATGGACCCACGGTCAAGTCCCTCACTGCCTAGCTGCATGACCTTCGGTGAACCTTAAACTCTGTGAGCCTCATTTTCCCCATTGGGCCAACAGGCCAGTGCCACTTTGCGTCTGGGAGTGTGTCGGCAGCTGCCCTTCATTTCATATCGGGCCTGAACCCTCAAATGCTTTTTTCTTTCTTTTTTCTTACTAGATCATCGGGTTATTATAAAAGGATATAACTCAGGAATGGCCAGAGGGAAGAGGCATGGGGGTGGGGGTGGGGGCAAGGTTTGGGAAAAGGGGCAAGGGCTTCCACGCCCTCTCCGGGCGCCTCTTCCTGCACATTCAGGTGTCCACCTCTCTGGAAACGCCTTTCCAATACTTTCTAAGTATTGAAAGTGCTACGTTTGATTTTTCAATCTGCTTTAAAGCATGATGCTTTTTTTTTTCATATTAAAAGAAAACGTGCCCTCCCCCCATGCCAGAGCTGCAACATTCTGCCCTTTATCTTTCGGGGGTGTTCCCAGTCTCTAGCTGCACGTGGTCGTTGCTTTTACATTGTTAGCACCCGGAAAAGCACTCTGCTGTCCGGTTGGGCAGGTAGCGCACTCCTCTTTTTCAGTAGCTGTGTATTATGTCAGAGTCGACTCAATCACACCCTCCAGTCAGGTAGGCTTTTTGTTTTATGTCTTTGCAAATAACCCCCCAATAAACTTTGTTCAGGATCTCTCTTTTTCTCTACGTTTCAATTATTTTCTTTGAATGGATTCCCAAGAGTGGGGTTCATGGTTTGAGAGGCAGGGGGGCCTGATGGCACCCACTTCTGTACAGCCTAGCAAACAAACGTTGTCTTTCATCTTTCAGAAAATGCACGCTCTGGGTACTTGTAAAAGTGTCACGCAAACTGCCTTCAAGTAGGAGTGGCTCGCGGGTCGGCTGTGGGAGGCGCGCCAATGTTCTTCCAGTCTGCGTTGTCACGGGGTGCATCTCTTACGAACTGATCACGCTCTGCCTTACCTGGGTGTGTGGAAGTTTCGTGTACGTTACCTGGGTAATAGACGCCTCCGGGAACTCCACCAGGAACAGCCCCCGGGACCCCTGGAAGTAAGTAAGTAGAGTCCTCCATCAGCCAGAACTAATAAAAGGGTGGTGACCATAATAATGGCGCTATGAGGTTGGAAGGGCAGAGATGACTATCTTCGTTTTAACAGACGTGAAATCGGGCTCAGAGAGGTTAAGACGGGTGCCCAGGGACACACAGCTGGAAAGAGATGGAGTCTGGATTCAAACCCAGGCCACCCCTCTGAGCAGGATGGTTGGCACGGTGTTCCCTGCTCCTCTCCCCATGGAGAGGGCCCGGCGTGGGGCTGCGGCCGGGTCCCTTCCACTGGGCAGCCGATGCTACCCAGCCCTGGGCAGCATGAGCAGGGGCTGGAGTTGTGGGCGGGCCGGCAGGCTGGGCTGTGACTGCGAGCAGTAAGGGAGTGTGACCGTTGCCAGCACTAAGCCAGCCATCCCCACACTGATATGATGGCGTGAGGTCAGCGTCCTCAGCCGCCGGGCAGCCACGGTTGGGTGGGGTTCTGGCCGTCTGACACAGGGCTGTCTTAGGAGGTGCCGGGGCCCAGAGGGGGACACCATGAATGAGCAAAGTGAATAGTTTCCTAAGGAAAAGCTAATTCACTGGCCAGGCCAGGGGCTGTCTGCCCGGCCAAGATCACAAGTTCATTCCCCATGGACCCGCGAAGCTCTCCCTGGGAAACGCCGTGCTGCCGGGCCCCACACCAGGCCTGCGCGTGGTCATGGCAACAGACGATCCCGGGGCGACCCAGGCCCTGACTCCGCCTCCACGGAGCAGCCCCAGCCTTGATGAGTGGACTTGCCAGGGCTCTGGCCAGGGCCCCGGGACCACCCCACTGACAGGGGCGCGGGTGGGGTTGGGGGACAGGGTCAGGCAGCTCTGCGGTGTGTCTGGAGGCCTCACGGCAGATGTCTGGCCACTGTGGCCCCGTCAGCCTCAGCAACAGCCCAGCGGGGTGGGGAATGCCAAGCTGTCACAGCCACCCCGTGCCAAAGCCCCGGCGCCACAGCTCCCCAGGGCCTGCAGCCCCCCCACCCAGGGCCTGTCATCCAGACCTGGAGTTTGCAAGCAATCAGGTCAGAACCTCGGGGACGCAGAGTGGTGGCCCCAGGAGGTTGGGGCTTGGGCCCTGTCATCGGCTGCCAAGCACGCACACAGCCTGCCTTGGGTTTTTGATGCCTCCCTTGGCCCCGGCCTCCAGCTCTGAGCACTGTCTCTTCTGTGCCTTTCCCCGTTGTAGTCTGGGTTTTTCTCTGCTTCGGCTCTTATGCTCCTCCCCTTTCTTTCCCTCCCGACAGTACCCTCTCCCCACCTCTCTGCTCTCTGGCTTCGGGGCAGGCTGCTCAGGACAGACCCGTCTGGCCTCTAATCCTGGCCGTGCCACTTCTTAGCATCTGCATGACCTTGGGCAAGTCACTTAGCCCCTCTGAGCCCCAGTTTCCTTGTAAGCAATGTGGGACTGATAACCTCTGCCTTGCAAGGCTGTTGCAAACTGTCAAAAGGTCCTGCCCTGACTCTAGCATCCAGTGATTGCTCAAAAAAAAAAAAAAAAAGGTGACTCCATCTACACTTTGCTGCGCAGTGCGTGGCCTGGGGCCAGGTACCCAGTGGACAGTCAATAAACCACAGGGGAATGAGGTTGAAAGGAGACAAGGATGTTGCCTGTGAGTCTGGGTCCAAACTGTTCCATCCCCAACAAGCCTGAGGGGCTCCCCACCTCGGGCACAGCTGAACCCCTACTTCCTGTCGAGGTTCTGCTCCCCTGCACCTCATCTGGGGTTCTGCCTGCTCCCTCCCCAGCACCTGCCCATCTCTCTGCAGCCCTCCTGGCCTGCCCCGGCTGTCCTCACACCCACCCCATGATTCAGATCCCAACAGCGATTGCCAAACTCCGTGCCTGAGCCATGATGGCCTGGGGAGCTAGAGATTTTGATCCCCGTTTTGCACTGAGCGAAGGGAGAAGGATCGGGGGTGCGAAGGATCCCGGCCCTGCCTCCTCTCGCCAAGTGCAGGAGAGGTGAGAACAGATTAAGACAGTAGTCGGTCAAGGGCCTTCAGAAAGGCAGATTTCACGCTCCAGTGGGTCGTCTTCCTCCTCACCTCCTTGGCCGGAGCCGTGCCTCCTGCCAGGAGCGCCTCTCTGCTACCCAAGCCCTGCCCTTCCTCCAAGACTGAGCTCAAATTCTCCCTCTCCTGCCTTCTCTGAGCCTGTGGTTCTCACTGCTCAGCTGGTCCAAAGGAGTTGGCTGGGAGCATGCTTGTCTTGTTTTATGTGGGTTTGGCTTGTTTTGCGGGCTAGCCCAGGGTGGAACTTGTCTCTTGCCTCTTAGAATCCTGATCCCAGACTCTCAGAGATCATAACAGTCTTCTGGCGTGGGCAGAAACTCCTTCCGCAAACATCCCCCTGTGCTCTGGCTTGCATGCCTCCGGTGACGGGAAAGTCACCCCCTCCCGATGCTGTCAGCTCTACCTCTTTCTGCTGGGATAGAATCTGCCCTCCCATCTCCCCAGTTCCGCCTCACAGAGCCCCAGAGCCCCAGGCTCATCTCTCATCCACAGACGACCTCTCAGGCATTGCCCTTTCTTTCAAGGTCTAACTCAAATGTCGCTTCTGCTATGAAGCCTTCCTGGATTTCCCGGGACCCTTCCGGGCCCTCCCCCCCGCCCCAGCCGGGGCCCCCAGTCCAATCTGCTTCCTCCGTCACTCCTGCGTGCTCCACCCAGCAGACAAAACATGGCGTGAGTAGCAAGACGGAAAGTTAAACCTTAAAAATGTGCACTAATTATAAGAGTCAATCGGTCCAAGTAAACACATTCTGAATAAGAAGATGAATCGTTTCAGGAATTCACATTCCCACAGTCCCCTTATTTGATGTGACTTTGGCAGATGTTACACGGCGGGAGCCTCCCCCTGGGCCTAGGAGATAAGTAGGGCAGAGATGTTTCTCCTCATTTGATGGCCAGTGAGACGGGGCGCCTGGCCCAGGACCCACAGCTGACCCCAGTCACACGCAGGGCCTTCTGCCTGGGCCCTGGGCTTCAGGTTCAAAGACATGGAGAAGGCTGTTGGGGAACGAGCATTGGGCCAGCAGGCCTTGGCAAGGGGCTTTGCCAAGCCCCAGTCCAGGGGGTTGGCAGGGGAGCAGATAAGACCTCACGAAGCTGTTTATTGTTTGCCTGGAGAAAGGCTGCCAAGGGCTTTTCAAAAACAATCTGTCCTCTAGTGGGTGACTCTGTCCCCTCCCTCCCCTGGGCACGTCTGCCCTCCTGCCTCGGCCTCAGCAAAAGCAGAGAGCGGGATTAGCCCTTCAACCACAGGTCCTCCGCCCTGGAGGCTCATCGGAGTGACCCAGGCGGCATTTACAAAACCTCCACAATCCAGTTCCCTCCTCAGACCAAAGAAAGCAGGAATTCTTGGGTGGGACCCTGGTATCAGAGCTGTTTCAAGTTCCCGGGTTAACTCCAATATGCAGCCAGGGTTGACAATCCCTGTTCCAAATCATCCTTAGTTCCGGAATCAGGAAAAGAACAGGCTGATAATATTTCTGGGGCACGGGGGACGGAATTCTACCCGATTTAATTGTTTTTTG